ACTTGGAGAACTTTGTAGTCCGATGCTTTAAATCCTCCCGGAGATCCTCAAGGTTCTTCCGAATCACACGCAACTGATCCTTTTGCTCCTCAGAAACTTGCCTCCCAGCTCGCCTAGGCTGATCTCGTAGAATAGGTCGTGGCGAACTCTTCTCCTCAAAGTGATCAGAAATGACCTCAAAAGAAACTCGTTGTTGAGGCATAAAGCCCCGTCCCACTGTGGGAGGATCATCAAGCTGCCATATAGGTGGCGGTACAGAACCTCGTCGCGGTGAACTCACAACATGCAAATCAGTCATGCCACACTATAAATCTCGTTGCGGGCGCGACCGGCAAATTGTCGCACAACAAAGCTCGGCATTCAGACTCTTGTGACCATAGTAACTGGTGAACATCGTGAGTGTCGATAGTTAAATACAGTGAAACAATGTCTGCAATTCACTGTGCCAAGACACTATCTGGGCGCGACCGATCACCGACAAAACAGAAGCAGCAACAGACTCACGCTGAAGAGTAGACGTTGTCTCTTGCACATCAGCAGGTAGCGCACAACAGCAAACAGACTTTTCTTCTTTCTTGTAATTAAGCTATAAGCTACCTAGCAGGAAACAAATCACGTGGTCACTCCAATAGTTAATTCAGCACACCAATCAAAGGAAAACGTGACCAAGTGGGACTCCTCTTGTGCTCTACCAAGAACAGAAACGTGACCGTAACTTGAAGTCTTGACTTGGACAGGCTTCAGTAGTTGCAACGCCAGGCCGACGCAGATCAACTCGGAAAGAAAGTTCGCCACCAGATAAAAAAACGTGCCGACTCAGATAGGATCCAACCGAGAGGACCTGGATACGACTCAGATCATCAGGATACCTAGCGCCACCAAGCACAACCAGATCGCCCAGGCAAAACAATGTCTTCAACGGATCTTCTAGTCCGCAGCAAAACCAGCAGATCAGCAACAATAAACTTTGCAGAAGGAAACAACAGATCGATCAGCAAAAACTCGCCGTGATAAACCTACAAATCTGATACCACATGATAAGGATCAACGTGATGATCCATAGAATTTTGCCCGATCTTTCACGGCGAATTGAACAAGATAGCAGATCTTTCAATCACACGATGAATGCAACCTGAAGAAGGGGAACGAAATTCCAGCAAGCAATGCGTTGATGATCAACATGCCTCAAACCTAAGCCTGATAATTCTTGATGCACTCAAAAACCCTCACGCAATCTTTATTCAATACGAATAAACGCGGCGCCGTTTGTAGAGGGATGCTTCATCCCAGAAACAACTCAATTTCTAAAACTCCCAAAAGAAAAGTCCTCTCTAAACCTAGCCAACGGCCTCCTTATATGGGCAGCTAGAAAACTATTCGGTTGGACAGGCCTACACCGAAACACACAAAATAAAAATCCTAAGTGGCCCACAACATGACCTGGAATAATAAAAATAAATAAGACTGCAACTGACCAAGTACATAGTTCGGTTACCCCTTTGGCACGCTTCTAACTTGGTGGAGTCCTGAAGTTGGGCTTCACCTCCACCTTCATGGGAACAACATGAGGCACTGGGATGCCCTCATCACCTGTACAAATCACATGCCATTTGTCAAGCTGGTCAAGGAGATACCATTTTCTTTTGGTCAGATAGTTGGGATGGACAACCTCTACAAGCAAAATTCCCAGAGTTATTCTCTTTTGCTATTCACAAGGACTGTACTCTTCATTTTGTAGATAATCAGGAATATGTCAGCACCCTCTTCCATAGGCCACTCTCCTTACAAGCTTACCAGCAATTGAACAGGGTTGAGGACATGTTAGCCTCCAGAGAACAAACTGATAGTAGAGACATATGGAAATATCATTGGACATCAGGGCAGTACTCCTCCATGAAAATGTACAAGCGTCTCATGGGTACATCCAAAGCTCATAGCATCTTTCAAAACTTATGGGGTACTTCTTGCAGACTGAGGCACAAGATTTTTTGCTGGCTACTCCTACATGACAGAATTAATACAAGGAATATGCTCCTTCGACGCAATATGCACCTCCCGAACTATAATTGTGCCTTATGTTCTGACAAAGTGGAAGAGACTTTGCCCATTTGCACTCTCCTGCTGGGATGTCATAGCGCCTGGGAGGGCTAGAGTTATCTCCAGTTTTGATGAGATCTTACTCATTTCTAATCAACTTCCAAAAGAATTGGCAATGGATATTATAGTTATGAGTTGCTGGGGTATTTGGTCTGTGAGAAATGACAAGATCTTTCGGTCTGCGCCACCGGCTATTGATTCATAGAAATTTCATCTGTCTGAAGGACTTTGGGTTGTGCAACTCCGAGCCAAAGAGGGCAAAGCGAATAGATCAAGGAATGGATTGATTTTAATCTTTAATGGGTATGCCCATGATTCCTAGAGCCGGGATTGGCTGAGAGAGCTATGCTCCTTATTTTACTTTACTTGTAACATATTTGTACCTTCTTTTTATTAATGAAAATACCATAGAACGATTGTTCTACGGTCAGGGCTCAAAAAAAACATCAGAGTTATGAAATTCAACAGCACTCCTTGCATCAGGGCCGTTGAGTTCCCTGTAACTTGATCTGGGACGAGGCGGACCGTCAGATCTCGACTGAAGCGTTTCCCGGATAACCAACAGTAACCTGAACTTAGCTGAATCTTTCGACAGTTGTTCAGGAAAGAGGAGCACAGCCTGACAGGGCTGCCTCCTCAGCTCGCAACCTTGAGCCAGTTCCGTCTGCCTTCTCGTGTCGTGTTCCATCGCAGTGGAATGCTTCGTCACCATGGCCGAGACTTTTATTTGTAGTGATCTTAACGTCCCCGTCGTGTCACGCCATTACCATTAACAACTCCTTAGCCAGATTGACCCGACAGCCTCACCAATTATTGCCAGCCGGGCCTGGATCAGCACTCCAAATCAGCTCCCCGCCCGCCTGAAAAGCGGCGCAAGTGCAACTTGCGATTGCAAGGCATCTCGTTTAGTTATCCTCGACCGAGACGCGACACTTGCTCAGCTGGCGTTACTTGTACTCCTTCCCGGCGGGCGATCGTTTGTCCTTCGGCATATGCTGCGTTGTGCGTTGCGAGTTGCCACCCACCGTCGTCGCCTGGAATATACCGCGGCGTGTGGGGTGCGCGAGAGCATTTTTGCACCGGAAAATGGTATCGACGTCGACATACGTAGACATAGTGTCGGGCTTGGCAGGACTCATTGGGATTTTACCACGGGAAGTTCGTAGGCAGGCTCCCGTTTACTTTCCCGAGTTTTGGTTTTAGCACGCACGTCCAACGATCAGAGTCTTGGGCTCTTGGCCTCTGATCATCGGAAGAAAACAGAACAGCTGCAGCATCCTCCGGCAAAAGATCGACGCAGAGCGTTGTGCGACATCCCCTTAAAAAAAAAGAGCGTTGTGCTACGGCACGGCAAGGGAGAACGGGCGTGGCCGTGAACGCAGAGGACGAACGTACGTGCACACGCCGCACGACAAAACGAGCCACGTGGAAACGGTCCCCGTCACCCAGCCCGGCCAGCTACCAGTGTGTGTGCCGCTAGCTGCACGCATGCGCATCACGCACGGCGCTGGTTCCTCCGTCCGACGCGTCCGACGATAGGCAACGGCGGAGCGGCCGCGCGCCATGGACCGTGGCCGGCTAGCTAGGAGACGTGAGGGTTACTGTCACCGCGCGCCAGACAGGGGACGTGCTAGGGCGCACACGGTTGCACCGCCAGAACCTTCCTGAACGCAGACAAAACACTGCCGGTGGCCGTAAAAGCCGTACACGTCGACCCCGGCCGGGTCGCCGTCGTCGAGCTAGGCAACGCGACGGAAATGCGTTTCATGTACGAGATCTGGAACAGGGACATTTTCATTTCACCTGCATCCGTCCATTTTTAAGGGCTCTAGAAGCTCCTGGTTTGTGGTTTCACGTATATCATTCCTTCGAACCGGTGATTGATTGCAAACAAAATTAGACCACGTAATATTCGAGTAAACAATTCTGCATTTGTGCTATTTTACTGCACGAATCACATGCTTTAATTGCATCTTTTTACACGTTGCACTCGATGATGATACTGATGCAGCTGACGACGATGTGGTTGACAAGGACAACGATACAATGAGCAGAGATGCCTTTACAAATTGTATAAGGGTACAGTTTGACAACATCCGTGAGCTGCATTTGTCGCCATAACGGTATCGTCTCAATTGCATTATGTGGTTCCAATGTACTACCACGGTCACTCTTAGAACTGGTATATGTTTACTCCAAAGTTGCATCATAAACTAGACACGCGTTTTGCGCGTTTTCATGTATTAATGGTCAAAAAAGTTAGATAGATCTTACAGCCTCCAAGTACAATGGAATTTACTTCAGACCCTCGTGTACAATCTGCAGCAAAAGTAGTTATTCTGCATGTAGTCCGATGTCGGCAAACCTTTTGTATATCGACGGTGAAACCAAGGACTTGAACGTGTTCTAGAACGACCAACAAACGTTCGTTCTGAAGATATTTCAAAGAGGAGGAAAAAAAAAAGCAAAACCCCGGCCGTGCCCACGGGACAACCGTGCCGTGCGTGTGACAGGTAGAAACGACCCGGGGAGCCGAGCGGCGAGCCCGGGGCGTCCCGGTTTCTTTTCCAAAAATCACACGCGCCCGCAGTCACGGGCGCACACACCCCCACCGTAAAAGCGACGGCAGGGAGCGCCCCGTGCGATGCGTGCCGCGTGGCCGCCCCGGCCCATCCCCCTCCCCAGCGCCCAGCCCGCGAACCTTATCCACCCGTTCGTCCTCCCCCGCTTTATAACCCCACCACCATCCTCGCTCCCATCCCACCACCTTTTTTGAGCAGAAGCAACCAAACGAACCAGGCCAATCCGTCTCCTCTCCTCCACTCTCGGCTGCGAATTAAACCCACCCGCGAATCCTCCGATTCATCTACTTCCTCTTGCGGCGCGGCGCGAATCAGTGATCAATGGTGTTAGCATCGGGACCCGCGGCCACGTTCTCCGCCCGGCCCGCGGCGCCGGGCGCCGGCCGGCCCTGCTCGTGCGCCGCCGCGGCCACCGGAGGTGCCAGGTTCCGCGGCGCCGACGGGAAGTGGTGGGCGCCGCTCCTCGGGTGGTCGGGCCAGCCCGACTACATCGACGCCCAGCCGGCGCCTGCACCGGCGACGGAGGAGGAGCGGGCTGCTGCTGGTGCTGCGGGGGCGAGGCGGTTCGGGGTGCTGACGGAGGAGAAGGCGCGTCAGCTGCGGCTGCGGATGATGGAGACGGAGAGCTTCCACGACGCCATGTACCACTCCGCCATCGCATCCCGCCTCGCCTCCGCCGCGCGCGACAGCGACGCCAAGCCATAGAGCGCGGAGCCGAGCAGCTCAGCTCGCCGGCCGGAGCCATGGGAGACGCGCTGTCTGTGTACAGCTGTACATACGCTTTCGTTTGTTCTGTCTGTCCTGTTGATCGTTACTGTACCCCATTAGACAAGAAGAGGCCGGTAATACTTAGGACAGGGCCCCTTCAGACCCTCCTGAACTTGATTATTCCATGGAGATGGGACTGCTTAGTTAATCTCACTAGTTCTGGAGCAAAACTAGCTAGCAGTAGCACCTGATGAATGATGAATGTACAAAAATAATTTGGTTGTGCTGATGATTTAAGTTTCGGTTTTCTTATCAGTGTTTTACTGCAAGGTGTTGGTTACGCTGAATCCAACTCCGTGGAATCACAGTCGATTGTCAAATTCAGATGCTTGCGAGCTGCAAAATGACCACTGATTGATGTTTCTCAAGTCACTGTGGATTGCATCAACTGCACGTCGTGTTTAGGAGGGGAACTTTTGGCCTAGGTGTATCTGAAAATCTGAAAATAACTTTACGAAAACAATTTAGTAATTTTACGAAAAGTCAAAAAAATCTGAAAATATTTTTGAAATAAACTTGACCTTTCATTGTGCTTGTCAGAAGAATTCCACAAAAAGAAAACCAGCCTTTGACTTCTTTTCAAAAAAGACAAATTTTTGGCCAAAGTAGCGTGAATAGTGAGCTATAATAGCAATACATTTTGTCTTTTTTGCTCTGATGAAGTCAATGTTGGTTTTTTGTTCGTGAAAATTTATATACTAGCGTAAAAGTAAGTCGAGTTTATTCAAAAAATATTTTTGAACTATTTTGATTTTTTATTTAATTATTAAAAAATCCCCATATAGGGGTATCTACAATCAGGAACCAAAGCGTATTTTCAGTCGTCTTCACCAATAATTAACCCATGGGACTTTGCGTCCCTGTCGACCCCCTCCTGATACGTAAGTAATCCCAGTGGGTTATTATAAAGAGGATTAACACATCCAACGTCATCGCCATTTGATTCAACTCTGTGTCGTGCGCTGCCGGTCCGCCATTGGCCGGCTTGAGAGACTGACGCCGACCTCTGCCTTTGATCCGATCTGATCCCATCCATGTTAGATTAGACATCAAGTGTAACGTACTCCCGGAATTACTTGTCTTGAAAATGGATGTATCTAGAACTAAAATACATCTAGATACATCTATTTCTATGACAAGTAATTCCGAACGGAGGGAGTAAGATATAAGATATAAGGGCATCACTAGACATCAGACTACTGATGTTAGGCTTTTATCAGACTAGTGATTGGCCGTCCGATCAAATGCATGATGAATCGTTCGATATACTAGTAGTTAATATGCATGATCCTTGGATTGCTCCGGGGCTTCGTTAATTGATTGCTCCCTAATTGCTGCTTCCTATATCTGCATGCATGATTGTCTCCGGGGCTAAACCCGGGCATGGGCAGCCCGGCCCGAGCCCGGCCCGAAAAACCCGGGCCGGGCTGGGCCGGGCTTGACACTCGGGCCGGGCTCGGGCTTTGTTTTGTAGCCCGAAATGTATTTCTGACCGGGCTCGGGCTTCTCTTTTTCCATTTTTCGGGCCGGGCTTGCACGTACATGTATTAAAAAATAGCGTTCAGGCCGGGCTTTCGGGCTTCGGGCTTGATTTCGGGCCAGGCTTGGGCTTCAAATCAGGGAGTATTTTGGGCTTCGGGCCGGGCTCGGGCTTGAGAAATGAAGGTCGGGCTTTTACAAGCCCGGCCCGAAACCCGGCCGTCCTGGGTTGTTACCTTCAATGCATGATGCATGCATCTTCCGGATTGCTGCTTCCTATATCTGCTTCTGTCAATCACGTGTGATCCGCCATACACTTCGTCCTTCATCCATGTCCATGCTTCATTTTTGTTTTGTTTTTCCTTTGCAACAAGGGTAACTGGGAATGAGAATTGCTGTCAACCAAAAACTGGGAAGGATAATTTATGTGAAATGTAATAATGGTTTTGCTTCCATCGAAACGAATTACGTTTCCATGGCTACAACCATGTGATACATGGGGTAAACAATCCAAACAATTCCAAAAAAATGTTTCCTTGGCTAGAATAATTTGCTTCCATTTTTTGAGATGGAAATTTTATTCAAAAAATTAAATTGGCCGTTTCAACGCAGAAAAACTAGGTGTTATGTACACATTTTTTGTGCTTCATACATAGCTGGGTGATGCTTCATATACCGGCGAATGTTGGGGAAATTTATTCAACTTTTTAATGTAATTATAAATGCATCACATGTAACATTTTATCTTGTTTTCAATGCAACATATTTTTGCAATGAACGATGAGAAAATTTTGCTTCTGTTGCAATCTAATACTGGTTTCAGGAAACGAAAATTTGTGCGGAAGCACTTTGCTTCCATGGAAAAAAAATCGTGTAAGTATATCCAACACAAAGAAAACTTTGCTTCTGAATGCATGTGTTTCCACAGTAAAAACAGTTTGTCTCCAACAGAACATAAGTTTTTTTTCATGCTTAATTCGTTCATATATTTAAGTTCAAGGCATGATACAAATTTTATTTCTTCCAAGTCCCCAATAGTACATACACTGCTTCTAAGTTAATATCATATGTTTCTTAGATTGTAGACTTGCTTCTCTTCGTGTGTGGTGTCTTCATTGTAGGGAAAGATCCAGGTGTCTCACACTTCTAGGTGCATGCATCTGTCGCTTCCAAATATGCTTCCATATATGTCCCCAGTGGCGCCCAACTGCTTGAAGTATATAACAAATATATGAAATATGTGAAGCATGATGGGAGTTTTTAAATGGAAACAATGCTCTTGACATTGTAAGAAAAAGTATATAAAAAGTAGCAGTATGTTTCTATTGCGATAAACTATGTCGGCTAAATAAAACATATAGTAAAGTGAGGAAGCATCCATTATTTGTCATCTCAACATAACTCATACCTAGAAAAAGCATATGTATTGTGACTAGAAACTAGCAGTGACAACATGTGTGTAAAAATGTGAATCAATCATATTGTGATCTAATACATACAAATTTCTTCCATCCATGCAAATAAAGTGGAATATCAAAGCACATATATGATGCTTACTAATCATGGATAACTGAAATATCAAATTGCAAATAATCAGTGCATGGAGACATATGATGATGGACCAGCGGGCGATTCACGCAGTGCAATACCTTTCCATGTGGCTTGTTATTTCCTTGTGTTGGGAAGCAAGCAGTGCCATCTTCTTGAACTAGGTTTTTATGGTGCCAGAAGTCCCCATTGCCACCAGTTTGCATTACCGATTTGTCTACTTGCCAAGTTGTCGTGCCACCGGTGCCGCTTATCCTTGAGCTCCTCGGGCCCGTTGGCTAGCTTGTCACTCGGCTGGCGTCGACAACCTTTAAGCACCTTTGAAGCCTAAAAAGTTTAGGCATGATGCATAACAATAGAAGGTGGGAAGCAACAACTAGTACTAGAAAGAGGGTTCAAAATACATGTACGGAAACGTTGGATGCTTAAGAATAAATATCTCGAAGCATGATTGTGGTAAATTAACTGAACTGAAGAAAGATACATCAGATTAAGAAGCATGGATATCTGGAAGCGTCAATTTCATGTTATCTCAACATAAGTCATGCCCAATAGAAGCACAAAAATAGAAACTAGAAATTGACAAAAGTTATTGCCAACACGCAGGTGCATCATTGTAATCTGCAAACCAATTCTGTCCAAATTGATTGGTTCTATTTTTCTGCCACAAAAAATGAGGCAGAGCATGATAAAAACATGGGCTCAATTAAAATAAATTACCATCAATCAAGTGAAATTGTATTCAAATCAAAGAACAAAAAGAAAGAACATATCAAAGACAACTGCTCGTTCACTAGCCGAGGGGTGGTGGAGATGGTGGGCACACCCTACAGCCTCCGTGCAACCTGGTGATGCAGCGGTGGAGAGGTGGTGGGCACAGCCGCGGAGCCGCCTCCTGCAGGGATGCCGTGCCGACGAGGTCGTCGGGGCCGCATCATGGAGCCGGTCACGCATGTGTTTCGATTTGGATCTGAGCCATGCAGTGGATAGTGTGGCCGGCAACAAGGTGGGAAGGAAGCATGTGGTGCAACAGGTTCAATCTGGGTGAAGAAGTCAGGGATTAGAGGCGGCAATGTTGACGGCGTGCTCAGATGGAGACGCATGCGGAAGAAACGACGGAGAGGAACGGGAGGGACGGATCAGATGAGAAATATAAGACATATGCAATAATGCATGCGTGACATACAGGTGGTTAATTAGCACCGGCCGAGAGGAATTAACATTTATTATTCTATATTATAAACAAGGCCTAGTGCTTGATGTCCCCACCGTGGGATTAAACTGGAATCGACGGATATGGTGTGGTCTGGCGTTGGCTTATTACCAGACTACAGATAAGAAGTGTTTCCCAAGATATAAAGAGGTTTGCTGTTTCTCAGTCGATTGAGGAGCACTAATCGCCCAATCAGGGTTTCAGAGCATCTCCAACGGGCGCCCAACAGGCGGCGCGCTAAAATCTGGTTTACGGCGCATCTATCGTCAGGTTTGGCGCGTCGCGCAGTGCTGATTCCAGCAGCCGCGCTAAAATGCTGCGCGCGCAAACAGCCGGCGCATGTATTTGTTCTCATTTTGGGCACAAATTTCAAACAACACAAAACACATGACATATATTGAATCACAAACATCATTCAACCAAGTTCGTGCCCAAAAGTTCATGGCCACAAGTTCAAATTCATGACCACAACATAATTCAACCAAGTTCAAAATGCAAACCAAGTTATGATGACACAAACGAAAGGCACGAGAATCAAGCCTCGTACTCGTCTTCGTCTTCATCCTCATCTTCCTTCGATTCATCCGACTCCTCCGAAGACGATTCTTCCTCCTCCTCTTCATTGTTGCGCGTCGTATCCTCATCACGTGAAGCTCGGAAGGTGTTGCCAAGATCTTCAATGGCATCTTCATGCGAA